ATTTTTACATTTGTTTTCTTTTAACCAGGAATCAGTATTTTGAGCTATTTTCAATAACATCCTACAAAAATAATAAACCAGATCATGTATTTTGAAAGGTTATTGTACACATAGTGTAGTGCATTTTAAAACTTGGAGATGTATAGTAGATGATTTTAAAAACCATTCTCTGAAAATTGCATGATACATTCTAGAAAAAAGTATTTCTTTAAGGCTAATGGTTTCTTTCCATTAACATAGCTAGCTCTTTGAACTTCTCCCAAAGAAAGAAGTCTTTCTGTGAAAATTAGGAATATTAGAAAATGACTTATTTTCCATTTAGTGGTGGGCTCTCAATCATTTAATTCTGGGCATTTAGATTTTGTTTCTGAAATACTTCATAAAAATCAGAGATTTTGTATTAGTTTTCAAGACATGACTTCTTTTTTTTTTTTTGTACCAGGGATCAAACTCACAACTTGGCACTTACCAGACAGGCATTTAGGCCACTGACCTAAAGCCCCAGCCCATTACTCTTTTTTTTAACTTACTGTTTATAAAGAAAATTTAACAAACAAGTCCTGTCTCACGACAAATATATGTTAATCCAAAGGACGTGGAGTAAGTTAGTGAAAAGAGGAAATTGACAGTGGTCTTCTTGTTTTCTTCAAACTGGAACTAGTTTTTTATAAAATGAAAAGTTTGAACTACTAATACATAGCTAGAAATAGAACCCAGATTTCCTAGGTTAAAGTTCAAGAACTTTATTTAGCAACATTTCATATAGGTTATCTAGTCCATGAGATAAAAAAAACGGGACTGTAGTTATTCTCTAGCACAATACTATTTAATTTGGAGAAGAATACTTCCTGCCATTACTTTCATACCATGTTTACAGGTCACTGTTTATGTCATTTCTATCTCAGATAATAACCCTGTAAATGTACTGTCCATGCTACAAATAATATAACCAAATTATTTTTACAAATAAAACCAAAGACTTGACATGTTAAAATACAGAAACTTGCTTAGGCTACTGGCTCAAACCAAAATTGAAACCCTTACTTCAGTGCCATATAATCTATATTTCATCAACACTTAGCAAATTTAGCACAGTCCTCAAAAACATCCCTCAGGTAAATTGTTGCTTAGGCATAGGTTAGTGCCTGCAGATGTTAACAAACAACTTGCAGCATATTCAGGTTATTCTTGTACTGTCTCTAAATTGCTTCCTGAATGGGAGAAAAATGAGACTGTAGCCATTGATAAGGAATTTTATGTAACTTTAGTCTATCTTATCCAGGCTGGAGCCCATCATGAGTTACCAATGTAGTATTAATAGTTTGAATGAATTTTAGTTTAAAGGAGAACTCTGTGATAAACTACTGTGTATCAAAAAGAATTTGGGAACTTTTAAGATACATTTCAAAGTAGTTTTTTTGTTTTTGTCTTTTGTAGTCAATTTTTGTTTTCTTTTCAGTATTAGTTCAGAAGCAGGTCTGGAAATCGATAGCCAGCAGGAAGAAGAACCTGTTCAAGCATCTGATGAGTCAGATCTCCCCTCTACCAGCCAGGATCCTCCTTCCAGCTCTTCTGTAGGTAAGTTCTTGCTTCAACACAACTTATGTACCTCAAACTTGTTTGCAAAGACACTTTTATTAACAGTAAAAGCTAATTCTGTTTTTTGAATTATAAATTTCATAAAGGGGAAATTTTATTATTAAAGGAAACTTGATTTTTATATAAACATTATTAAAGTACTATTCTGTCATTGATGATCAGAAACACCAACACAATAGACCCATTCGGAAAAAATAGTTCAGTCATATTTCGTATAGATTAATATTGTCAACATGCATTCTGAAGAGCTCTTAATTCTCCTGGAGTTTCAGCACAGTTTGTTAGGGGATAGCTGTACTGGGAAGCAAGGAAGCTAAAGATTGTTGTTCCAGGCTTCCTGCCTCTATTTATTTGATCCAGAACATCTTCATTTTTATATGGCCCCTATGTATTACAGTTTTCCATGAGATTGATGTAGAAGCTTTGTGGTAGAGACCCTGTTACTTTAAAAATACCTAAGTTTACTAAAGTTTTAGAGTTCAGTTTTTCAGATTCTGGAAGTTGACTTTGAAAACAGATATTATTTGTTACCTATAATAAAAGTTTCTTCTGTGGAATTAACCCAGTAACAATTAGCATTTATTGAGTACTCAGTATTTTAGGCAGTATCCTAAGCTCTTTACACACATGAGGTATAATTAAAATATGGTGAATGTCAAGATGTTTAAGAATTTTTTATGGTAAAAATAATACTGTTATTAATTTCCCCCCACACACTACTTTCCCTTACTACAAATACTCTTATCCCATCTTTCCACTCTTACCACTTTCTGCAGCAGTTCTAGAAGTCTTTTCATGAATGTCTTTTAGTTGTGTTGTTGTACTTCTTTCATGCTTTGAATCAATAAAGAATGTTTACTTTTTATGGCCTCTTTGACTTTGGGCAGAGCCAGAAGTTACATGTGCCAGATCTAGTAAATAAGGCAGATGACACACTGTGACATTTGTATTAGACAGAAATTGCCCAGTAGTAGTTCAGTGAAGTGTGAGTAAATTGAGTATTTTAATTTTAAAAATCTGTTACAATAAAAGACACATTACCATTATTCTCCCTCAGAATACAGCCCCTTGCTCTGAGCACTTTTCCCATCACTTGGCAGTGGCTTTTGCTGTAAGATTTTTTTTTCTTAATTTAAACATAGTTTCTAATTGCCCCTTGTATTAACTGTTTTGATTCTCAGAACAACCCACTGGGCATGGTGATACACACATAAAATCCCAACATTTGGGGAGGCTGAGGCAGGAGGATTGATAGTTCAAGCCCAACTTAAATAATTTAACAACTTAATGAGACCATATCCCAAAATACAAAAGGGCTGAGTATGTAATTCAGTGTGAAGACTGTTCAATCCTCAGTACTGTAAAAGGAAGGAAGGAAAGGATGGAAGGAGGAAGGAAAGCGGGGACAAAAAAAAAAAAAAAAAGAGTGAATAACTTCTCAAGATTACATAGATATTAAGTAATGGAAAAGCAAAGAAGGAAATTTAGGAAGTTTGGCTCCAGAGATTCTACCTTAAGTAATATATTATAATACTTTGTTTGTCTCAGAATTTTTAAGCAGGAAATGACCTTTTTCATTGAGGAAGTACAGTACTTTAGTCTGACTATTCCCATTTTTGTTTATTGCAGAAAAAATCTGAAATTGCCATGGAAGTTTCAGATTTTGTGACAAGTCCACTTAGTTATTGTATTTTATAGTCGTAGAATTTAGCTATCCCCAGACCTCTTCCTATACCTCATCCCTGCTTTTCTGTGACATACCAGCCTGTGGGCCAACATCTGTTGGTTTAGATTTCTTATCACCTTTTAACACTCAATAATTTTCAATCTCTATTTTATCATGAAGTATAGATACACATGTAATGTTATGATCAGAATTAGAAATCACATGTAAATTATTGAAGTCAATATCTCATACATGTGCCTAAAATGTTGTTGTTATAATTGTAACAACAATAATACAATAACCACTATTTAAGTTCTGCATCACTAGTTATACTCTGATGTTCTCTAAGAGTTATCTTTCACTAGGGCTGTGGATACAGCTCAGTGGCACAGTGCCTGCCAGGCAAGTGCAAGATCATGAGTTCTATTCCTGGCACCAAAAGAATGATACCTGGTACCTAGTTTTATTAAGGGAACTGACACATATCACTGTAGCTTGCATGAGAAAATAGTGATTGTTGTTCCCAGTGAAGAAGTAAGATGCCTTTAAATCTGATAATGCAAAACACTATGTCTCCCCCTCTGGATAGTTGTTTATTTAGTCAGCCAGTGTTTGGATTTCTACCATTACTGGACAGTCGCATAGAAAGTGACATTTAAGTAAAGACTTGAAGGAGCAAGGGATCAAGCCTGTATAGTTCTTTGGAAGAACTGGGTCAAAGGAATTCACTAATGCAAAGTCCGTAAGGCAGCACTGAGTATCTGGTGTTTTCAGAATTGACAAGGAGGCTAGTGTAACATAGCTGGAACAGAATGAGGGCAGAGACTAGTAGAAAATTATGATAAGACCTGGGGGGCTACATCAAGTGTGTCTTTGTGATTGCCTAGGTTGTATGGATATAGAAAACTATTAAAAGGTTCCACATAGAATAATAATGTGATCTGGTTGTCAGACTGTGATATATAGAAGAAACTAAAAATGAATAATGGGCAAAAACAGGAAGAATGTGTTCTTACAGTAATTCAGGATAAAGCTGATAATAGTGTGGAGAGGATGATAGACATAAAAGTCCTCAGATTTAGGATACATAATTAAATTGAGCTGGTAGGATTTGCTAATTGGATTGAAGTATCTGAAAATGAAGTATTAGATGTGATGGTTGGTGAATAAATTTTAAAAGGCAAACCATTTTTTTAAGTAGATTTTTTTTTTTTTTTTACTTTTTCCTTTTTTTTACTTGGTAAATATTCTTAACTGTTAAAAAACAAACTTGAATATTGAAAGCAAATGAATACATCTTTGTCCATGCCTTTATGTAGTAATTAATTCTGCCGTTGTAACTGCTTCCTTGTTACTTTGTTTTTAATGTGTTTTTTTTTTTTTTGTATCTTTAATGTTTTTCTTAGATACTAGCAGTAGTCAGCCAAAGCCTTTTAGACGCGTAAGACTTCAGACAGCATTGAGACAAGGTGTCCGTAGTCGTCAGTTTAACAGACAGAGAGGTAAATTTCTCACTTATTAATTGTATAGTAGAATATAAAATAATAAGTGGAACAAGTTCTTTAGTCATAAAGCTTCCAGTTTATTTTTTTCAAATGTACCAATACTAATTAAATATTATATATAATATTTAGTGATCAGGAAGCTTCTTATAGATATCTATATTCCATAGTTGTATAATGAGTGTGGGAGTGTTCTTTGTTTTCTCTCTTAAAGATTTGAAAAATTTAAAGTGTTGTAGTGCTATATGTTCATTGTCATTTATTGTTAAATGCTTTTTATGTAACAGAATAAAGCTTTGTGACTTTGTTATACTAGTTAAAAATGTAAAATTTTAATGCATCCAGGTTTTCTAATGTCACTTATATTCATACTATAAAAATATTAGTACAGTCTTTGTAATGATTTCCATTGAACGTATAGAAAAAGTAACAGTTTTATATCCATTATGTTCAGATATTTCATATTGTAAATCATTCTTCCTTTTGGTCTTTTACAGGTATAAGCCATGCAGTGGGAGGAAGAGGAGGGATAAATAGAGGAAATATTAACTAAATGGCCCATTAACTATAATAGTTGTGAATAAGATTGTCAGGTCTGTTTTAGTGTAATAATTATCAAGTTAAACATTTTTGTATTTAAATTGGTATGTTCATTTCAACATTCTTTATTAATAAAATGTATTTCATTGTCAAAATTTATCATCTTTTCTTTGTTTTAATTAGTTGACTCTTCTTTGTTCATCAGTCTAAGGACAGTTGTACCAGACTTTAGAGAGAGTCTGTCCAGAACGAGTAGTAATTGCTCTTGCTGTTCTGCTAGGCACATCGATGTTATAGTATTGATCTAAATAGAAAAGAAATCACTTTTTAAATTAAAAGTAAACAGAACATTTGAACTCAAAAATAATTTGAGTTGATTAATATACTCAAAGATAGTTTAGCATATTTATAGCAGAAATGATTTTGTTTGAACTTTCTGACAAAAATAATTGTCTTGATGGATTCACTTTTCAACATCTTTCAGTAAAATTAGACTGAATTCTTGAAGTAAGCATTTTAGAATAACCAAATTATTCTAAAAATAATTCATTTAGGTTTTGTACATTTTTAAAAATACTTTCTGGTGTCACATATATTGTAATATTTTGGAATAAATTAGATTTCTCGGCTTTTCATAGAAAAGTATCCTGGCTTAGTGTAATTTAATGTCTTTCTTATATGAAGATGCAAATGGCATCTGTTAAATGACTAATAGATGTAAAATACTATTTTCAATAATAATATTACTGAGGTATTATGTTTTATCATAATGTCATGAAAGATTGAGTTGCAGTCCTCTCCAATTTAATTTAAATTAAAATACTGTCCACAGCAATTAATGTAAGTATTATAGCTGAACTCATTACCTTTAGTTGCCATTGTGCATTGGCATTTTTGCTTGAATTAGTACATTCACAAATGAGATTAACTCAGGAAGCTATTATGATTTTACTTAGTAACTTACCATTAGAAAAGGCGTAGTAATCATAGCCATCAGGCTTTCTAATGTTGGGCAGTGTTACAGCTGAGGTAACCACACTTGGAAATCCTCTCCACATTGTACTCATTTTAATTTCATTATGGAGAAAACCTATAAAAGACATTTTTAATAGAAGCTATCAGATTAAAAGGCAGTTTACAATCTTAGAAAGGGCTAGACAAACCTGGATTTTAATCGTAGTTTGTTGACTGAAGAGCTCCATTACTTAGGTAGGTGAGTTAATTTCTTTGCCCCAGTTTTTGCCTTCTGATGTGGCCCTGTACTACCTTTTAGGACAATTCTGAGGCTTTTAGATTTGTTATACATCACTTTTGATAAGAAGTGCTTGATAAAAAGTGTTTATTAACAAATTTAAATGCTTTCCCTACTCACAAAGAAAAAGATTTGATCTTTGGTTATTCACTAAGGCAAATTGATGTGTTTTGCATCAATAAATTGAAATTACTGTGGCTATTTAGTTAGTGCTTATAAGCCTTTATGAGAAAATATCACATCTGCTTCATGTATAGAGATTTTTATTGCAGTTAAAATGTTACCTTTGTCTTGATAAGCGACTCTGACAGGGGAATAGTGAATTCTGATGGTGTGTGTTTGAAAAGGTTCTACTGCCCGTTCAAAACGACGTCTCCTAACTTGTGCTACATCTCCATACACTGAATAATGTACAGCAGGTCTTCTTCCAGTGCACTTTTTGTTGGGCTCCTGTTTATAAATATACTGCTGAATGTTGCCACCTGTTATATATTAGAAAATCACACAGAATAGGAAATTTTGTATTAATCCACCTAGAAAATTTGGAAAAACCATTTACAGCCTGAATGAAATTATTGGAATTTTTTTAAAAAAATGAATTCAGATACTATGGATGGCTCTATGGACTATTATGAAAATAAGCACTAAACCACTTAGAATACATTCAGCATATTACATAATTATGCATTTAACTGAAAGTAAGTGACTTGACTCTTTACATCAAGGCTTTAACACAGATGTAGAAGATTTAAATAATTTTTAACTACCTTCAGTTTTCATTAAAATAATTCTAGTCATAAAAGATAACCTTTTGACAGTAGATGCAGTAATAAATGGAAATATTAAAAATCAATTCTTAAAATTTGTTATAGTTTTGTCAATTACGTAGCACATACCTCTCTTGAAAAAATATACAGATTCAGGTCTGTTCTTGTGTTTAGCTATTGGAAGAGCTGCTACTATATTTCCCGATAATCCTCCAAATCCTTTAACAATTAATTTAGGATACCCTGGATCTTTTATGTCATTGGTGAAACGCCAGTACTGTGAATCCTGACAATTGAAAAAAAAAAAAAATGATGTTGATAGTTTTGGTGAAAAAGGGTCAGAAATCATTCTTATGCTTTTGTATAGGGAAAAAGTGTTGACTTAAATATGTAAGTAGGCTATTAATATCAAAATAAGAGTCCTTTTGATAATAAAATGTTCATGAAGATATGAAACATTTCTGAATTGGAAGTTGGGTGATTTGTATTATAATTTACAATCACTTTTTTAATTTCACTCATAACTATTTTTATTACCTTAAAGAAAAAAGTTTTTCCTTCACAGTTGCATCTAGTAAAAACAGTGTCAATGGGAGAAGGAATACCCCAGACTTCAGTAATTCTTCTAGCTGGAGATGGTGGGCTGAATGGATTTAGCGTCCAGAAATAATGACCTAAAATTTAAAGAGATGCATCAGCCTACAAGCCAAGTACTGAAACTCATTGCTAAAGAAACCAAAAATGAAAACCTTTTAGTGATTATTACAAAGAACAAATTGCATCTATCAAGAAGATGGCATCAGAAATAGTCAAATGCAGAAGAGTATTTGAATATTTCTGAATAGATATTTCCCAAGAATGAAGTTTAACATACCAAATGTTTTTGTTTTCTAGCTCTGGAAAAAACCTTTTCACTGTGTAGCAGGAAAGTCAGTTCTCTCTGAATTGCAATGTCTATCTTTTAGAATTAAAGAATTACAATTTAATGACTACTAAAATCTCTTCAGCCTCTAGATTATACATATTTTAAAACTGGATTAGCAGAATCTGCAGCAAATTAACATGAAATAAGTGCCATTGTCATTTTCTGAGGTTAGCACCTTCGAACACAACAACTGAGGATTAAAATGTAAGTAGTATCAGTTCAAGATCTTTGTTCTTTTATGTTTCTAATTTTGTTTGCCCAGTGTTTTAATAGTAACTTAGATTCTCATTGTGTAAGACAGATTTGTGTGTCAAGTTCCCCTCCACAAAGTTCAACCCACACTAGGTATCTATCAAGAGTCTCATAAATACCAGAGCAAAATAATAGGAAAATACCAAAGTACGTATGTAGCTCACCTCGAAATGCAACCAGTGTCCCATTGTACAAAGTGGTCAGTCCATCTACTGGCTTACCGTTGCATAAATTGGTCTCATCTAAAACAAATTAAGAAATAGAAAGCAAAATAAGAAAAATGTTCTTTTCACATCCTCTCATAGGATTGTTGCCTGTTTATCTTCTTAAACTCAAGTACAGTTTGAAGCATTTACATTTTAGAGATGAAAAAGGTATTTAATAATTCCAATTTACCTAAAGGTGAATTTTGAAAATAGTATATAAAAAGAAATCTAAATGGGCCAAATTGTTTTGATATCAATATAAATTAGCCATTTTTTTGTAAGTTTAAAATAATATTTTTAGTCTTTGCAGTTTTGGTTGATTTGGAAAAAAATAATAAAACTTTGCTCTGCCTTACTCTTTAAGAGTAGATTCCCAACTAACCTTTTTGACATTTATGTATACTCTCTGCTTCTATACTGACAGTGAAACTGAATTCTTAACTCTACATTACTACTTGGTTGTCTGAAAAGTATGTAAGCTTACTGTCTTACTCCTCTGCTTACTTAAAGGGAAGCAGTAAAACTTCACAAATCAGCGAAGTTGGGCTCTAGATATTAGAGTGACGCTAAAACAGAGCATTGTGGTTCAAATAGGTAGAAATTAATACCAGTTTTAAAATGAAAATAACTAATATTACCTGAAAGCATGGAGTTGATGCCAATCTCTCGATTGGGTAGTCTCACAAAGTGATCAATTCCTGGAATAATGATAGGAGTTAATACAGGAGGCCTAGGAATCATATGAGGTTTTTCTCCTTCAGTACCAACTGCATCTTCGTTCTCTGGATTTCCTTCAACTATTTCTGAATTTGGAGTCTGATTAGGACTAGTGGTAGTTTGGATTGTGAATTTTGCCAAAGAGGTAGGGTTTAAATGGATTGGTGTTGTCTTTGGGGGAATTGGCGTAGTCTTTGGTTTTCTCACTTTAGGTATGCTTGGCTTTTTAGTAGAAACAGGCTTTTTGGGTGCTTTCGTTGGGTTTTTGGTGGAAGGTTTTTTGGGTGCTTTCGTTGGCTTCTGGGGTTTTGAAGTTGTTGCTTTAGAGTTAGTAGGCATATCTTTTGGTCCAGTGTTTGTTTCTTCAGGTTTATTTATAGTCTCTTCAGTTGTAGTTACTTTGGGTGCAAAAGTTGTTGATTTCAAAGTAGTAGTTTTGAATGATGTTGAATCTTGAGTTATAGATGTTACTTGCATAGTAGTACCTGTTGGTTTGGATTCAGTCTTTTCTTCTGCTATAGTTCCTGTCCCTTTTATTGTACTCGTAAGAGTATCAGTTGTAATTTCGGGTGTAGGATGTATTTCTTTTTCTATTGTCTTATCTTTAGCTACTGTCGTCATTTCAGGTTTGGCCACTGCAGTAGTCTTGGCCATTGGTAAGGCAGGCTCCTTGGGACTTCTGTCAAGAGCTTTTGGTGTGGGTTCTAAAGAAAAATCAGGAGTTGCTTCAACAGATGTCTTCAGGGTAGTAGGAGGCTTCATGGTGGTGGTTGGAGCTGATGTCTTATGAGTAGTTGGTGCAGGCTCCTCAGGGGTAGTGGGGACTGGTTCCTTTGATGTGGTGGGAGATGGCTCTTTGAGAGTAGAGGGTGCAGACTCCTTGGGAGTGGTGGGAACTGGTTCCTTGGTTGTTGTGGATGTAGGTTTTTTGGTGGCAGTAGGTACAGGCTCCTTAGGGCTGGTAGGAGCTGGTATTTTGGGAGTGGTAGATGCAGCTTCCTTTGGGGCCATAGGAGCTGGTTCCTTTGTGGTGGTGGGTATGGGCTCCTTGGTGACGGTTACAAGTTCCTTGGGAATATTGAGAGATGGTTCCTTGGGGGAGGTAGGAGTGTTTTCCTTGGGGGTAGTGGGGACAGCCTCCTTGGGAATAGTGGGAGCTGGTTTCTTGGTGGTAGTGGGTACAGGCTCTTTAGGAGTGGTGGGAACTGTTTCCTTGGTAGCGGTGGGTGAAGGCTTCTTAGGGGTGGTGGGAACTGGTTCCTTGGTGGTGGTGATTAAAGGCTCCTTAGAGGTGATAGGAGCTGGTTCCTTGGGAGTAGGTATAGGCTGCTTAGGGGTGGTTGGAGCTGGTTCCTTGGGAGTGGTAGGTGTAGGCTGCTTAGGAGTAGTTGGAGCTGGTTCCTTGGGAATGGTAGGTGTAGGCTGCTTGGGGGTGGTTGGAGCTGGTTCCTTGGGAATGGTAGGTATAGGCTGCTTAGGAGTAGTTGGAGCTGGTTCTTTGGGAGTGGTAGGTGTAGGCTGCTTGGGGGTGGTTGGAGCTGGTTCCTTGGGAGTGGTAGGTGTAGGCTGCTTAGGAGTAGTTGGAGCTGGTTCTTTGGGAGTGGTAGGTGTAGGCTGCTTAGGAGTAGTTGGAGCTGGTTCTTTGGGAGTGGTAGGTGTAGGCTGCTTGGGGGTGGTAGTAGCTGGTTCCTTGGTGGTAGTGGATACTGGCTTCTTGGTATTGGGTGCAGCTTCCTTGGAGGTGGTAGTTGTTTCCTTGGGTGTTGCAGGGGTAGGCTTTTGGGGAGTGGTCACAGCAGAAGCTTTGGTTGTAGTTTCAGCTTTGGGTGTAGGTTTAGCAGGAACTTCAGGTGTGGGTACAGAATCTTTGGCAGATGTTTTCTCTGAACTCCGTGTCTCTTTGGCTGAAGTCTTTTCTTTTGCACTATTTGTTTTAGTAGACTCTTTAGTTTCCACTGTTATGTCTTTATTGGCTGGTGGAGGTGTTTCCTTGGATGTGTCAAGATTAGATGGGAGACTGGGTTTAGGAGTTGTTGGTTTTACTGTTGTACTCTTGGGAGATGTAGTTACTTTATTGGGTTGTGTGGTAGCAATGTCAGGAGCTGGAGTGAGCTTAGAATCACCACTGTCCTGTCCACTTCCAGCTTCATCAATTGATGGCTCTGGGGCAGGTTCCTTTTTTGGAGTTCTTTTCTTATTATCTTTTACTAGGAAAAAAATAACACATTTGTTATTTTTAATAGCTTTTTCTTCTTTAGTAGTAACCTAAAAGATCTCATCACTGGCTAGCTGTATACGTCTAGGCAAATTTCTGAACTTTAATATGTCCATTGATTTTAATATAAAACTAATACTCAAGCTGTCTTTCAGGGCTGAATAAGATAAAATATGAAATGCACAAATAAAACCCTAAACAGTTAACACTGCACATGGTAGCCAGTGGCAACTCTGAAATCACCAAAGTGACCAATAACACTAATTCATCTTTTATATTACTGTTCTTCACCCCTTACTTTCTCCATCCTCTGTTCCTCACCAGGCTGCCCCTTCTCCTTGAAAAGATGGCACCAATGTCTTATATTTTCACCACTCCAGCTACCTGAGAACTATTAACTGCTGTCTTTCCTCTGCACAGCTAAACTTGACAGTCTATAGCAGAACATGAGGATGCCAGGGCAGCAAAAAGACTGTTAAACAAGATTTCCCATGACAGCTTTCCCCTGCTTGAGCTACAAAACTCAAGGGACACTTTACAAACAAATTCCATTTAGCAAATGAAAGTAATTCTGCTGTACATAATATTCTTGAATGACAAAAGAGTCAATGTCTGGCTTTTCAGCTGGAGAGTCTCTTCAGAGAAAATCAAACGATCTAGGAAATAGAATTCTTCAAAACTCCAGTCATAACTTACTAGGGAAATAATAAAGGTTTGTAAAATAGGCATAATAATTCCATGGAGGCTTATGAGAATTTAATGGATTAATATTTGTAAAAGATGGAAAGCACCGTGTAAGTGATAAATAAAGCTGGGGAAGGAAAAATGAAAACCCAATAAAGATAGTGGAAGAAGAAACCAAAATGATCAGGTAGACAGGATCCGCAGTAGAACACCATAATCACTCCTACCAGCCTGTTACAGCATCTTCTTATCCTTTGCTTTTAACATAGCTTGTTAGCATCTTGGCAGTTATTTCCTATGGAAAGTATTCCTTTGGCACTTTCTAAGTGTGTTTTATAAAATTATTCACCACCCTCAAATATTGTGATATTCTCATCATTCTACCAACACTCATTACTTTTAAAAATTAAGTTGGCATTGATATAGTCTTTGATCTTTATCAATGCTCAAACCTTTGGGTTTCTTCTGTAATTCTTTATTAGCAGCTGAGTTTTTGGAAGACTTGATTTTCCGAATAGTTGAAGAAGAAGAAGAAGAGGAGGAGGAAGACTCTTGGTTTTCAGAAACAGAACGTTCTATAAATCAAATAAAAAGGTTGATCACACCAACTGTGATTTTTTAAAAAATGCCACTCCAAATACATTAAAAATTGATGAGAACTGATCTACAAATATCTTGTGTTCTATTTTTGTTTTATTGATAGTATGATCAAATGCCTTTTGAATTTGTCAATTAAAAGCAAGGCACCTGAGCTTATCACACACAGTAGCAATAAAACACTCTTGACTTCCCCACATCTGCCAAAATTTCTCACAGAATCCAACTGCTCTGCAAAGAAACTTATACAGTAAGATCAGTCCCTTATGATGACTTTCACCAAGACTCATGCTGAATTTGGTAAATAAAGGAAGATACACCTGAGATATTCTTTAGCTTAAACTTTGTCTTAAGGTAACTAAACCAAAAATGTAATGAGCCTTTCATAAGCTTACCCACTAGAATACTCATACAGGTAGTTCACCTACAGATAATTTCATCTAAGAAATCTTTAATTGTATCTGCCATCTTCCTACCTTCTGTTATTTCCTCTGATTCTATAACTTTCTTAGTCTTCTTCTTTTTTGGTGATTTGGGTGAACGTTTGGTGGTTGATTTGATGGTTTGAGATGCTCTTGGAGGCGGAGGTGCAGTCTTTGAAGGTGGTGATGTGGGATTATGCACTGAGGCCAAGCAAGACAGTTTGGTTAACATCTGGTTTGTATTTATCAGCACTGCTAACTGGAAAGCACAGATGCTTATAGTTTGAAGCATAGATGATGGTAAAAGCCAGTGCCAGAAGGCTGCAGCCCAACACAACTCCAAACCTGTTAATTCTAAGGATTCTTTGTTATAAAAGACTGATTCTCAAATTGTAGTATGTAAATTACAGCAGGAAGCAAAGTCTCAGGAAGCAGAAGGCTTAAATTGCTGTCCTTGTCCTGGATGTTTTTACCATGTTAACCTTAAGCAAATAGGCTAACTCCTTTTGAATTTCATTTGCTTGTCTGCAAATTGAGATGTTTATTCAAAGATGATTTCTAAATGTGTTTGCCTCCTTAAAACATGCTTGAGTCTATGAACTTCAATCTGTTCAACCACATTTTCATGAGTATAAAAACTAATACTGTTTATGGATGACAGGATATTCAATCTTTTGAGCATAAGAGTATGATAATTATATTTTTCTGACTGTTTCTTAAAGAATAAAAAGTAGAAGTCATGATGCACGCTTGTAGTCCCACATACTTAGGCAACTAAAGCCTAAGGAGGATTGTAAATTTAAGCTTAGCTTGAACAACTTAATGAGACCTTGTCTCAGAATAAAATTTTAAAAGGGGTTGGGGATGCAACTTAGTGGTAGAGCACTTGCCTCACATGTGTGACACCCTAGAGTCAATCCTTAGCACCTGATCAAGTGTGGTGTCATTCTAGCACTTGAGAAGCAGAATCAGGAGAATTTCTGTGAGTTCAAGGCCAGCCTGAACACATAAATGAGACTTTATCTAAAAAAAAAACAAAAAAAAAAAAAAACCATGAAGGAATCCTCAGTACTACCAAATAAATAAACAAATTTGTAGTATTTTTTTAAAGGGCTGGCAATGTAACTCAGTGGTAGAGTGCTTTCATAGCATGTGTATGCCCCTCAATTGAAGTCCAATACTGCAAGAAAATGTAACTATATATTTTCTCTAATACGCATTCAAATCAAATGATGCCAATTTGCCTTTCACTATGAAAGTTGTATGTATTATTCTGCAGATTTCACAATTGAGTGTTACATGCTTTTCCACAGTGTTTCCCTTCCCAGTAAACAACTGTTAATAGTATGATGTGTCTATTCTTAATCTTTACTTCACATCTCATCCACCAATTCCTTTCATCTCTAGACATGAAAGCATGGAATATTATTTTTAAATCACTAAACCAGAAGAAAAGGAGAGGCCATTAGAAAGATAAGGAAACAGGGCAGTGTGTACTCTGGATGAAAAAGTGCTGTGCTAAACCCCACCATTCCCACCCACAGCTCCTCAGAACTCCATTGCTGTGAGCTTCGCGACCACACCACTAGACCTCATCCTCTTTCTTCTCCCAGCCAACAAAAAGCAAGTACACAACTGTATCCCAAGTTGAGTAACATTTCTGACATATACTATTTAGTGATTTGGTGCAAAACAGAAGACATTTAGTTGGGATACCTTCTATTCTTGAAACGTTAAGATTTTAGAAACATGAAAGCCTATAAACAGTATTTGTAGCAAGCCTGAAACAACTCTGTGGATGAGATTCGAGTTGTTTGTTTTGTTTTGTTTTTTTAATGAAGTACTGAAGCTGAGGGTAGTTTCTTTGTTTTCATTGAATTCTGTAAATGAAGTTACAGATTTATCTTCACGACAATTTATCATTTGTTAAATTTATCTCAACCTCAGATGTAGCAAAACTTCATAGCATAAAATACAGTCCTTCTTAAAATATTCTCTCAATACTTCCTCACTTTCTAACCATCTTGCCTCCCCATCCATCCTTTGCCAAAGTAAATTCCTAGGTTTTTCTTTGTCTCACAGCCAAAACAATTATCAAGATAATGAGTAAATATGTGTCTTCCATCATGGAGCCTTCTGAAAGCTACAAGAATGCTGAACTCTGAAGTTTTGATTCTAAGGGTTTTGTCTGCATTATTTTTGGAATGTTTTCCAATGAAATCACAGATCAGTTAAGAAACATCCTTCAACTCTGCTAATAGTTTTCTACTCTATTTCTCCACTGTTCTAAAGAAGCAGGCGGTATAGCTTTGTTTAAATAAAATATGATTGAATAAACTTTGCTTATTTTTTACTTTTACCACCATAAATATTCTTTTTAAAAAACAAAATAGAGATTATGAACAAATACTTGGTATCTGGATAGATACATTGAGGGAAATCTGGAGGACTTAGATTAGAGTATTTCTTTAGGATTTGACCAGAGAACATTTTAAATGATACAAACATTTTGTTCACTCTACCATAACAGACATGTATCTGGACAGTACTGAGGGAATGGTAAGATGTAAAGGAACATTTAGTTCACACTTAAATTCTTGACATATTTGCATGCAAATTTAGTGGCTTAGGCTAACTTGTAAATTAACTTTTTTTTGGAGAATCTGTATCAATTCTGTGCTTATATATATACTCAAATATTTACATCCAAGCATACATAACTCAAAGGACAGTTGACTTCATAAAGTTAGAACCACTAAGATGAAACAAGAAATCATTGAGTGAGGTGTGACTACTTTTGGTTTAACCTTAAATGGAACCACATTGGAAGAAGAAAGCATATACATTCAGCCCTTGTCCTCCGTCTGATGCTCCCAGAGCCTGGCTGAGCCAAGAGATGCTGCTGCGAGAAGCTTCTTTTCTTCTTTATTTCATCTTTATGAAACAAAATTAGTGTGCAATAGCTTATACGTTACTACATTCACTACCAACTTGGACCACAAGTTAGGTATTATCAGTAAAGTTAAGGTAGGCACACAGATACAGCTACCTGTACTGAGAAGGACCGACTGCTACCACAGTGCTTACCTGCTGCACAGAAAGTGTCATAGTCCGGACAGCACTTGCCATACTTCTCACACTGGGCGTCACAGTCACATTCCCTCCCTCGGGAGAAGGACTCGAAGCAGCGGCCTTTACAGGAAAGCTCTACCCAGAGCAAAACAAACATTATGGTTATTGACTATTGATTATAAATCCATATTCATGTATTTAGCCAACCATTTCCCACCTCAGAGCTCACTACAGTACTAAAGCTGCATTCTTAAGTCTTCTACTTGGAATTTGGAGTATATCATCCAGTAAAAATGGATGATGTTCCAAATGGAGACAGCCCGAGTCAGAAATGCTGACACAGAAATGTTCTGTACCCTTCAAGGTGCCATGAGACACTCCAAGGCTTCCATAGCCACTTACATGTATGGATGGAAAGTTAGAAAATGTTTAAATAGTGAAATACTCTTCATATGAAATCTTTGTCTTTTCACCTCATACTATTGATTTGTAGTACTGTTTATATTTAAAACTGCTTGAATATAAATGATTTGCTGTTGAGGCTCAAAACATTTATAATACAAAGAAATTTTTATTATGGCAAAGTAGGTGAGGTGTAGAGTTGAAGATTTCAGGCTGAGTATAGTGGATAAGCCTATAATCGCATCATCCCGGGGAAGTAGGAGGGTCACAAGTTTGAGTTTAGTCTGGATAATTTAGTGATTTATCAAGACTTTATCTCAAAAATTTAAAAGGCTTAGGGATGTAGTTCAGTGCAAATTCTCTGAGTTCAATGCTCAGTACAAAAAAAGAAGAAAAACAAACAGATTTTAGCCTAATCCCATCAGTGTGAATGATCTTGAGAGACCTATTCATTTTAAGTTGGTCAAAGATACAAGTGTGGCCTGAGGATGTAGCTCAGTGGTAGAGTACTTGCCTGGCATGCATAAGGCCTTACGTTTGAGTCTCAGTACCACCAAAAAAAAAAAAAAAAAAAAAAAAAAAAAAAAAAAAAAAAAAGCAAACAGCTTCACGCAAAAATTCTAAAAGAAAGCTAAGTTCTGTAAAATTTTAATTATAATTTTTATAAATTGAATATGAAATGTTTCTGTCAATAGTAAAATGGCCCAAAATATCATCATTGAAATCTCAGTCATAATTTAAAATTCAGCTCTGCTGTGTATTAACTGAAACTACTCATCATTGTTAAATACTAGTGCTTCATCCTTAGGAATGTCTTTTTCAAGTAAGTTATAAACATGTTAATACCCCCAATGTCAAACAATATACAAGATTGTTCTTGTTTCCTATGGACCTTTTGATGAAATGTTGAAAAACCCCATCACTAAACAATTATGTATCTGGTTGTTGGTAAAGAATTACATATCACCTAATGGCTCCTGAGTCAATGTTAAGTCTTTTTTTAAAACAAGAAGTTTCACTTGGAGCAAGTCAATAATTCTGTGCAAGTGACAGATTTCCAACCTCCACATCCCAGCCCCCTTTGATACCATTCTTAGGAACAGCTCTGTGCAACATTTATGCAAGCGTAGGGAAAGGCATTGGAGCAAAGGAAGTGAAACAGAGGGAAAGCAGCACGGCAGTGGGTGCTGGGGAAGCTCACAGAACCGCCCTTCTTAACAGAGGAGGCACCGCTCTCAGGACTCACCTGTGGTGCAGACTTTCTTGAAATCAGAGCAGCACTCCATGTAGTGTTGACAATTATAGTCACAGTTGCAGATGGCATCTCTAGAATACCCTTCCCCACATCTCCCTGCACAGCTTGTTAGATCTAAAATTATACAATACTAGGGTAAACATGGCCAAACCACTTTTAGAAAGGGAGAGACCTAACAAGGAGTACAAAACTGATTGATTGATAAGGAACAAGTTTACTGATTGGAAAAAAAAAACAAAAAAAAAACAAAAACTAAAAATGGTGGGTGATAGACCAAGCTGATATTTGGCTGATTTGTGATCTTGATCATGACACTTTATTCTTTATCAGATTGAGAAGATAAATATACCATTGTAAACCTCAGGCATAGTAGTGGCTTACTTTGAAGAGTGATGCTGTGGGGGGAGAGATAGAAGCTACAGCTAATCGTGAGGCAGGCTGTTGTCTTGATGATTACTAGTCGTCACTGATTAAGCATTGCTGTGCCAGTTTGGAGTCAACACTGCGGCTAACATTATAAAAATGTTTTCCAGAGGCTTTTAGCCCTTTGAGAGGTTTTCCCAAAAAGTTGAAACACTAAAATTTTAATAACTTGTCAGTGGCACAGCTGGTTATTAGTTCAATTATATATGTATGTATTACAGGTTGAATAACACCTACTAATTATTTGCAGTGATCTATTTTACTCTTACAAGTACCTTTATGTGGATAGTAAATTATATGATCATTCTAAATAAACAGCCAATCTAGAATTTGAACTCTGATTCATCTGATTCCAAAGTCCATTACATTGCCACTCATTCTGATGATGAGTTTAAAAGAAGCTAGTTATGTGAGCATAGTCTTTACTACATTTTCTTCTCTTTCATTGGTGAGAATACTAAAGAACCCTGGAACAGCATCTGAGCATGAATATAAATGTTCAGAATTTTTCTGGACAAAGAAACAATAACAAAGTCATAACTATCTTTCCACAATTTCTAAAAGTCATAAATGACACCTTAAAACCCTCCCTGAAAAACCCACGGTGGTGTAACAATGGAATTCATCTCTGGAATAGAAATTGGTAGGTTCAGTGTCCTAAATCCACAGAAGAATGTTGAAACACACTGAAAAAAATCTCAAAAGGAGAGAATCCAGGAAAGTTAAAGTCTTAATATGCAAATAAACAATAGAGTAGGATCATTTTCAGAATTTTTTGAATAAATATATGTGTGCAGTACATACAAAATGCATATATAGTGTATGTACATAAATACATATATTATATATAATGAAAAAAGAATGAGAAGCAGTTCAGAAGGCAAGAGAAGCAGACAAAACAGCATCACAAGAATGTTCTTTGACATTTGGCAGATTTCTGAACTTTATCTATATGGGAAAAGTTAATTTTCATAGATGAAGTGTCTGTCCTATTTTCATTGCTATTAAATTTAGCCAATAATTTAAATTTTATTTATTTAAAAGAAAGTAACCCTTAGTGAACAATCAATTGTATTAGAGTAGAAAAGCTGACTTAAGAGATGCACCGGTGTTATAATTCTTGTTTCAGCCTTATGAGAGAGACCTGTAGTATCTGGAAAGACCAGAGTAGACATCATTCCTAACTAAATACTCATATTTGCTTGTTTTTCCATCTTTTCTTATCAAAACATTTCTGCAGCTATGCCTATGCAGGCAATTTTATCTCAGATTTCAGGAGAATTTTAGGTATTTACCAGAAATGTCTACTTTACAAATAAATGGACAGTTTTGGTACCAACTATCTGTCTTGATTTTTCTTTTTTTCAGATTTTTGCATGTAAAATGTTGGAAAAAGGAAAGCTAGGCATTACTAGCACTATACAATCTAAATGTAGTGCTAGAGACATTGGCTAGTGTGATTAGGTTGAGTACATGTTGGCATTCTTGAAAAACTTGTTCATTCAGGACTGACTCTGGGGTAGACTATGAATAACTCAATATTACAACACAAAATGATATTTATGTCTCTATAACTTCATATTTAGAGGAACAAACATTGTAAGAAAGAACACTTACAATTAATAAAATTAAATATGAAATCACCATCTAAATGATGTCAAAGTAAGTTTTTATCAACAATTCATTTGATGGAAAAGCTAAATTTATCAACATATAAGTAAAATTATGTCAATTAAACATTGTTTAAGTTTCAGTTATTTTTATGCTATTATACAGTTTAATAACAAATGTTTGTGTGTTTGAAACTTTTGGAAGAATCGTAGAAGTAAGTGCCAAAATTACAGTATTTTATACAAAAGTTCAGGGCTGTGGGTATAGCTCAGTGATAGAGTACTAGCCTAAGGTATGAGGTCCTGGGGTTTGATCCCAGAACTACAAAATAAACAAAACAAACAAATTTTCTTGAAAGATTTTTCAATGCAAGAGAAAAAGATGATAATTATAAAACACTCATGAATATATCACATAAGTTTTATGTAATTTTAAGGTTATACTAATTATTAAATTAAGCAAATGTAAATTTGTAGAAATCTATTTTATGTCACTGTTTTGAAAATAAAGTGTTAGCAGTAGTTTTTAAATAAGACAATTTTTGATGGTTAAGGTACCTTGAGACGAAACTTGCTGAACCAAACAAACAGAAAGTAGCAGCAGCAAGACAACGGGAAGTAATTTCCACTCCATGGTTGTTTTCAGTTCCTGTCCCCTCACTGGAGATAAAATAAAGCACCAGCAAACAGCTTTTTACTCTCACCACTAAATAATGCAAGTTATACACAATGCTTCAATAATTTTCAAAATGTAATTTAGTAATAAAACAACTCCATTCCTAAAACTAGACTTTCAAAAATTTTTTTATTAATTCAACAGGATCAATTTAAGTTCTATAAAAAATATTTGACCACTATATTTAATCTTACACAGACCAAGTTATCAAACCACCTCAATCATATTCTTGAGCATTTTAATACTTTAGAAATCACCAAAATAGAAAACTGACATCTTAAAACTCTATTCAAAGTAGAGCATGTACTCACAGTACAAGGTTGAAATCCTGTCTTGGGAAAAAAATGTTACTAGCTTCAGTAAAATTTAATTTAACAAGCAACACAGAGTTAGTGTTCCAACTTTCCTTTAACTTTCAATATAAATTTTAGGCTTCAAACAGGTGCATTGCATAATAAATATGATCCTTTTCAAAAGCCTCCAACTACTACCCTTATAAACCTTTTCCAATACTTTTAATGAAAACATATTTAATACCATAAAGTAAGTTAATTTTGACACTTACCGTAAAAGAATAGATGAATTTCTCCAATGTCCTGGAAGTCTTATATATCAGGGTAAATATATTGGGATGAACCAATGAGTCCAAAGGTTAGACAAAATCAACAGTGACAGCCTATGAAATCAAACTTTCCTCATTTATTGGAAGAGGGCCCAGACGACTAGACTTAGGCAACATCTGGAAAAATGACTGCTACAAAATAAACTTAGATTTATTGGTTAAACAACATTTGTAATTTCTAAGTGAAATGAACAAATTGTTCTGAGATGGCAAATTATTCTGGCAGGCTTTAACTAATATATCAAAGTCACAATTTAAAAATAATCGAACAGTGATTCTCTCTCTCTCTTTTTCTCTCTCTCTCTCACTCCCTTTCTTTATTTACATATTTTCTGTTCCTTCAGATGAATCTAGCAAAGGTGGTTTGGAATTGAATGTAGTGTTAGCTTGGGTCATTAAATTTCTTAACTTCTACCAACAAATCAAGTGTACTGTATGTTTCTATTCTTAAATATTTTTATTTTTCTAATTGAGATGCATGTTTTCTATGCTCTTAATTACCTACAGTAAGTTACCAAAGTTTCTTTTACCATATAATAACCTTAAAAATTGTATCGATACTTCCTTCAGCCCCTTTGTTCAAGATGAGCAGTGTTTGGAAAAGGGCTTTTAAATTACCAATTTATCTACCTTGTCACAGAGGAAATGTGAACCATCAACCTTGCAAATCTAGAGCAGCTCTGTTTTAGGTTTAACCTGATCTTGTTATAGAAAATTCTTGCTCAAATCTTTCCCATCAGATTAACTTCTTTTTCATGTATTAAAGTTTCCTGAAAACCTTCCCAGATCAATTCAAATTTCATCCAGAATTAGAATCAACAAACATACTACATTTTATTTAAATTATCTCCCCATTTGTCTCCCACCTCTACCAGACTGATTTCTTTAAAGTCAAAAACACCTAAATCTTAATTCTAATAGATAATCCAGTGCTTTGCCGAGTTTGCATAATAACACATGCTTGGTGAACCAAACTGTTCTAGCCAAATACTGCCATGTACAACATATCCAGTAGATGTTGTGGTTAGTTAACACAAAATGCGTTTAAATACAATATAACCAGCCATGTTTTACAAATAAGATGAAATCCAAAAATAGAGAATCTGTAACAATTTCATCCAAAACTCTATAAGTGCCAGAATCAAGATTTGAACTCATGTTTATGCATAGGTTTATGAGATTATGATAGGGGTTGTAAACATCTCTTTTTTCCTTTAATGCTTATTTCTGATCTAAGTCGGAAAGACTGTTTTAAAGGCTTACTTTTTGACAGTCCCTGCCTGTTGAGACTATCATCCCAAATATGGGGTGTTTTGTATAATTTAAGGTTACATTTGTGATCTTGCTACATGGGCTACAGGCAATAGGAGTAGAAATAAAACCTTGAACGAAACTGAGTAAATATGTTTCCCTCTCCTGGAAATCTAGAATTTCAGTTTAGAGAGTATAAGTTTGCTTATTAAATATAAATGTCTGCTTGTGGTCTACAGAAGTAGAAAATGCTCTTTAGAATAAAAAGAAATGAATGTGGCAGCCAAGTAGAGATTTCTAGAAGTTGCCTAGCCCTCATTAAATTGTTCTTTAGACCCAACTTCTTGATCTCCATTTTTAATGTAAATTCCTCCTTTAAAGCTCAAGGTGGATAAAGATGCTTTTTGTTGTTTGGAATCCTTAATCAGTTTACAGTAGATACATATACGAATGACCCTGTTGAAAGGAGTTGAACCAAATTCTCTTAGTTTTACTGAAGTCGGGAAGGAGAAGCAAGAAGCTGTAGTTTTTCAGGTAACACCTTTATAATATTACTTTATTATTTATTTGAAATGTTTGAACTACAAAAACTAGACAGGAATACACACATACACTTTTTTTTTTGAGGCAGGATCTTGCTATATAGCCCACGTTGGTCTCAAACTCAGGGAAATCCTCAGTCCTCTTGCTTCAGACTCACAAGTGCGGGAATCATAGGTATACGCCACCATGCCTAGCAACACACACATATTCTTAAATCCAATATGAATTGCTCTCTGATTACTGCCTTTAAACTATCTGTACTATTGTCTTCCTCGTTTGTATGACATACATTATAATGACGGAAAATTACTTCTTGAATTGATTGATAGTATGTACTCTTTCTTAAATCCAAGTTTGGGCTTAGAACACGGACAAAGTGTGCATAAGTGTGTGTGTGCACTCACACACTAACATGTACAAACTACAAACCCTGAAACTTTAAAGTATTCATTAACATATTCTCATTGCCATCAAATACATTTTCACTATGTTGCATTAAAAAAAGAATGAGAAATGTGTAATTGTCCAGCTCATTAGGTCTCTATTTACCTACAATTCATTTACTACATCGGATTGCCTATGTAATGTTTACTCTTGAAGAGTGAAAACATTCTATCTGTGAAATGTTTTTATAAACTGTACTAAGCACCTCATTCTGTGAATTTTGGGTCTTTTAACCTTCCTTGTTGAAGACACAATTGTCCTACTAAATTACAAGCTTTCTCTTTGAGATTTCATTTCTCATTGAGAATATTTTTAAGGTCCATTTAAATTTCATTTAACTCGGATAAAAATCATCCCAGGACTTACGTTTTGAAGTGTAGGAGATGGGAAGAAGAGAGTAAAGAGCGATGGAGAGGAGGACACGCACGGTATGACTGTATCCTCTATGTATTTTGCGGAGATGACTTTCGCATGGTTCACTCATGAACATCATTTCTGTGCTTGACGACAGCACAGCAATGCTCTTAGGAGAACATTCAAGGATGTCTAGGGATACTTGCTCTTATGAGATTCCTCCAGTCTGTTGCGCCCTGTTACTTGGTGCGCTCTGTCTCCATCCTGTTGTTTGCTGTCAGCTTGCCCTGCAGCCACAGTGTCTACACCTAGTGGCTTCCTTTCCCCATTTCTACACTTTCATTTCCTTCCAGCATCAGCCTGGGAAAACCTAAAGCACATTTGGGGAAAACAACATACGTAACCTCATCGTTTACCACCCTGATGTTCTGCACTGGGATAAATTAATGTACTCTGGAGTTGCAATAACTCGTTTCTTCTCATGTAGATTAGAGACCTGCACACTAGGACAACTGTCCATGCTGTCTGCTCAAGGCATTTTTACTCACTGGAATGGACTGTAGTTTTATACAGTCACAATTGCCAGGTAGATGCTTATGTTACTAAGCTAAATCCCTGGCCCTATTCACAAATATTTAAAGGAATTATATTCTAAAAATTGATTTGTATACTGAGCAACAATGTAAAAAATTAACTATGGAAATAGACTATTGATATTGAAAAGAGAGAGGTAAACTGGATATTTTCAAATGGCTTGATTGTGTATGTAGAAAAACTCAAAGAATCTACAAAAGTCTATAAAAACCAGTAAGTGAATTTAGCAAGATTATGGGAGATATATGATCACTAGCAAGATTTTATGTTTGGACTATTTTAATGCATTAACTTAGCTAAAGAATTCACTCCACTGAATTTTCTAAGAATAAGAATTAGTGTATTGAATTTATGATTTTAATTTTTGATGAACATTTATTAAATAATGCTTAATATATGCCAAACCTAGTATTAATTGTTGGACAGACATGTATATGCAAGAGGAAAATTTTGGTTTCTAGTATTTCTTGGGTTAGTCAGGGAGGCAGAAACTTCAATGGTCAAACAACTGGAGCTGAGCTTTGGCTCAAGCCTTTGTTCAAATCTCACCTTTAAAATTTTCTACCTGATGGGTTTATGCGATTCTCTTCACTTATTAGATCTCACTTTCATAATCTGTAAAGTAGTAGCAATAATTCCTGTTTTTATTTTACATGGTAGAGATACATAAAACAGAATGATATTGAGTATTAGTGGCATATGCACCCTAAAATTACAGATATTTTAATCATGGTTATGATCATTATTCTATAGCTGTCCACCAACTGCTGTGGAAACACTGGTGAGGAAGTACCAACGCTACTTGAGGAATTCTTTGCGATGACCAGTGCCTAGGGTACAATGGCTCCTACACAAGTGCAAGGACAGAAGCCAAAGACCATACTTCTAGGAAAATAATATGGTATTTTTTCATTCTTTGTATCTTTTTAGCCTTTAATTTCTGATAGTCTGACTTTTTCTTCTCCTTCCTTGAAATGGAACTTTGGATTATTTTTTTTAAATGACTCTAATTTAGTCCAAGAACTTTGAACTAATTTTTTAATGGTTGAGGACCTTATAATTGTCCTCCATTTTAGTAACCTAATAGCAATGAAAAACATGTCAAGCATTTATTTTGTTACATGGTAAAAAATATGTTTATTGAGCCTTCAGTGAGGTTATGATATAATATTATTAAACATATTTTATATAATCTGAAACAGTTTATACTGTGAACAAATCACAAAGCTATAAAGCCAGTGTTCTATGTATTATTAACTCCGACTTGTCTGACTCTAAATTCATGGTTTTAGTAAATTTTATGACCTATATGGTCTAATACACAGAGATAATAATTACATTCTTTGTGCTCTGACACAATCAAATTTGTATCTTTATAATGGAATCTCACTCTGATTAATAGCATCTCACCCATCTTTCTCTCTCTATTTTATGTTTCTCCAAGCTTTTGAATGATTAATTCTTGTCCATTTTGTAATCACCACTAGTATAGTTTTTTATTACATAAGATTAGTACTGTAGATTTGTTTGCAGAAATAAATTTAGATTTAAACCTAAGCATGGTGGCTCATGCCTATAATTCCAGCATATTCAAGACTGAAGCACAAAGATTGCTGCTTCAAGGCCAGCCTGAGATACACAGCAAAACCCTGTCAAGAGTGAGAAACTGTGAGAGATAAAGACAGAGATAAACAGAGAGAGAGACAAAGAGACATATAGACAGAGAGATAGAGAGAGCTACAGAGAGAGAGAGAGAGAGAGAGAGAGAGAGAGAGAGAGAGAGAGAGAGTCAGAGACAGAGCAAACCTAAATTTACTCTTTCTTATAATGGCCACTTCGTTATTACGACTTTGTTTTTTTTAAGCTATATCAGATTGTAAGTCTACATCCATTGAATTCCACAT